TTTCAAGCCAAGCAATGGGTAGTAGCTACTACCTTTAAAATCCAAGTGCAGGTTCCCTATTGAATCCCTTTGACTTCTAGGACCATGGTTGCAACTGCTTCACCAAGGGGACTTCCTTTGGATGCAATGTGTTTTCAGGTAAACGAAAAACAGTGGACGCGCTAGATGGTGTTTTGACTGCGTAAGTGGGGGACCGCAGACTTGACTAGTGCCCTTTGGACGGATCGATGTGGAATGATCAAAAACCAACAGGTGTCCAGGTGTGCCGCGAATAAAGGACGAACCATAAGAGACGAGGCAACGGCACCATGGAGGAAATGGCCAGGCCTCCAGTGGATTCCAGCAAACAATGGCTCTCACTTTGTGTCCAAGTTGATTTTGAAGGGAACCCCACTGCCAACACGACACACAAGGGGGCAAATGCTTGGCTTCCTTTTTCAAATTTTGGTCCTCCCTTAAACGCATCCCAAAAGTCATATGGTTGTCAAGGGCCCCCCAAAAGGGGACCCCCAATCCTAATGGGAGCTAATAGCGACTAATAGCCGCTAATGTTACTATTGGGTTTTGACACCGTTTTTTCCAATAGAACGCAGTTAGGGATACCCACCTGTCTTCCAAATCATGGAAGTTTAACGTAAAATCCGGACACGACCGCTCCCGGAAATGGGTTTGCGCACCTGAAGACCCTAGACATCGCAATTATTCGGTACTTGACGGAAAGAGCCCTCCAATTCAGAATCAGGATCAATTATTCAATTCAGAAATCAGAATTATTCAGAATTCGGAAGTATTCAGAATTTGCGCCTTTGGGTGACAAATTTCCAAAACCAGAAACACCACACCCGAAACGACTCAGCTCAACAAAAAGACGGAAATTAATCCCTTGGCTTCCGCAGCGCGGCCGCAAGAATGTGCAAAGTTGGTCGAACACCCTCCCACAATCTCAACATGGAACCTGACGTTCGGGAGGGGTCCTGGTTCGTGTCAGGCTCCTTTCCAGTTTTAAAGGGACCCCGGAACGTCAGGTTGCATGTTCATGCGCGGGAGGCTATGAATAATGGTTGATAAACCACCAATCCCAACTGGTGGGCGCAGCCGTTGTCCAAACACACTAGGAAAACACTTGGACCCCACCAATGTCCTACACTTTTGGCGGAGTCTTTCGGGAACTCGGAGCAACCCTGACTCTCATTTGGACGCAGATCATCCAAGCCCATCATTCGAGAAGCTTGTGCTGGTATCCCTGATCGGGGTTGTGCAAGTGGGAATTGCAATCGCTTCTACGACACTCCTGGACGGCCTTCTCAATAGACTTTCTTCGCTCAAACGGTGAGGTTTATTGAGGTTCCCTAGGGTCACAAAGATGCTTGAAAAACCCAACGTTCCTGATTCTTGAAGGGCAGGCATGCTGCGCGCTACGGCTTTCAAATAGCCTTCCGATCCTGAGCAAATCTCCCGTGTCTCTGCTTTATGTAACGATGCCCATTTCAGCCTTCCCCCCTTGTTCTTTCCAGCTCTTATCGGTCCCACAGTTTCCCATTCATCGAATCCAGACGCGCCTGGACGCGTTTGCGCCGCTGTTCTCCAGCCAGTTTAGCTCACCGTTCTGCATGGTCATGTAGCCTCTCCCGTTCACCGATGCGGAAATGAAGCTTCGATGAACTGATCGGACTGCCGCGTTATGGATTTGCTTGTTTTAGCCAAATGAGGCGCTCCCAAAGTATGCGGTTCTCGCACTATGGGAATTTCAGGGCTGCCTCGTGTGTTTGTGGAAATGATGTGAGCCCCCACCCCTCCTTCCCAGGATATTGTCACCGAACCTCGTGCTTAAATATTTCATTTACGAAAGGATCGAAGCTCTGAGAGGCCGGCCTACGCCGTACCACATGCAGGCGATGACGTGGTTCATGACGGTGATGAGACACGTGAGCCTGGCGTGCCGCTACCCTCATAGGCCGAGGCCGGCCTTCGGGAAATTGTACTGGGCTTCCCTTCAAAAACCACCCCACCAAAGGGAAAACCCGTTCAAAGGTCGAAAAAGGTAATGTGGACAGCCATCAAAAAAGGAAATATGGGGAACCCTGTTGTTTCACGCAAAGGCAGGGCCCAAATGAGAAGAAAGCGGGGGGAACAAACCAAACTGGGTCATGACCATAGTAGCAATGTTAATGTGTTTTGGACTCTTTGTGACAGGTCCATAGATGTGCGAATGCTAACTAAGGTTCATGGTTTACACAGTGCTACGCGATTCAGCGGGAGCTCACTCAAGCCATCTCAGTGCAAGGCTTGAGCAAAGTGAAGAGGATGAAGATGTACTCGCTGTCCAAGATGTCATACACCTGGCACCCAATGAGTCAGTCTCAAGTCTTCCCCCGTGAGTTCGCTTACGGCGGCCTGTATTTCCAACATAGAAGCATCAGCTGACACACAGGAAACCCACTTTGGAATTGCCCCAACTGCCGATCCTTTAACCAGCTACCCACCCAAGACACATTTTGATGGGTTGCTCGCAAAGAGATGCTTTCCGCAGAAGTTAGTCAAGTTTATCCAACAGGTACACATTTGTTCGCAACGAGCACCAAGGGAATAAGCAAAGAAGGACCCAGGCTCTCCAGGGCGTTAAAATAAACTATGGTCTGATCATTTGCAGCCTGTTTGTCAGTGAATAGGTACTGGCAAAGCACGCTGAGAACCACCCATTCAAAATAGAACAAACGCGCGCCTTCTTGCGAAAGGGTCAGCCCATCCGCGCCCACTGGCGCCCCACCCCCCGCCAGGTTCATGAGTCGCTGCACTTTCAGCAGCCGCAGCAGGCGGACCCTGAACCACGGCGAGGGGCGACGCAAGGCTTCTAGCATCCCCCCTACGGTGTCGCCACTTAAACACCCGCACACTTAAATAGGTCAACAAAGATTTTACACTACCTCCGCCAGCGTTACCGCCAGCCCGGCCGACCAACTTAAATACCCGATTTAGATAGGTATTTTGCGTTACGTCTTGAAAGCCTGCCTCTGGCCCGGCCCGCCTTGTCAATTTGCTTGCTGTTTGTTGCCAATTACATCTTCCGCAACCAGTCGGTTGTTCTGGGATTTGTTTAAAAAAAGCAGGCCCCATCCCCAGACGCCAGGAGTTTCAAGAATTGAAGGAAATCTGGGAGTCCCGTCCGAGACAAGGGCACTCATGTCCTTCTTGCTTTCTGTCTCCACGCAAGGCTTAGGCAGCTCCATTCAGCGCACTTAGCTCCGCAATTCCAGGCATTTATGTTGCATGGCGTTACGAAAGCGTTGGTCTGCAATTAGAAGCATTAGTGTTGCGCCGACATGGCGCCTTAGGTTGGACCTGTGTGGCTTGGCAAGGGCCAGCGCGTGTGCTACGGATTCGGGGCAGGGTTTTGCGAATATGAGATGGTCCTTTTGCAGGGGTCTGAAACAGGTCTGAACCAGGTCTGACACAGGGTTCAATGCCAGATCCAAGCATTCTCTCTCTCCCTCTCTCTCTCTTGCGTCTCTTTCTTTTCTTTTAATTCTTTTCATTCTGAGATTTGTTTAAAAACACATCCCCAGACGCCAGGAGCTTCAAGAATTCAAGGAAATCTGAGTCCCGTCCGAGACAAGGGGCATTCATGTCCTTCTTGCTTTCTGTCTCCACGAGCCACGTAGACAAGGCTTAGGCAGCTCAATTCAGCGCACTTAGCTCCGCAATTCCATGCGTTTATCAAGCATGGAATTACGAAAGCATTGTTCTGCAATTGCAGGCATCAGTTTTGCACCATGTCCCAATTGGTGTTTCATGGGCCGCTGCACCACTATACTGGTGCTGGGGATTCGGGGCAGGGTTTTGCGAATTTGAGATGGTACTTTTGCAGGGGTCTGAAACAGGTCTGAAACAGGTCTGACACAGGGCCCAATGCCAGATCCAGGCATTCTCTCTCTCTCTCTCTCTCTCTCTCTCTCTCTCTCTCTCTCTTCCAACTCTTTTCATTCTGAGATTTGTTTAAAAGAAGCTCCCATCCCAAGACGCCAGGAGTTTCAAGAATTGAAGGAAATCTGGGAGTCCCGTCCGAGACAAGGGCATTCATGTCCCTCTTGCTTTCTGTCTCCACGAGCCATGTAGACAAGGCTTAGGCAGCTCAATTCATCGCACTTGGCTCCGCAATTCCAGGCGTTTATCAAGCATGGAGTTACGCAAGCATAGTACCGACATGGCGCCTTAGGTTGGACCTGTGCAATCTGACCTGGCTTGGCAGGAGCTAGCGCAACGCAGCTGCTAGCAAGGCCTTGAATGGTGTTACGCCCTGTTTTTTTACGGGGAAGGGGTCTGTCTCGGTGTTGATCTCAAGGTTCCAAGTAGATGTCCAACAAACAAAACAAACACGCACCTTGAATTGCGGCCTGTCAAACAATCGAGGGTTCAACCTCTCAAAAGGGAGGAAAAAAGGGGAAAGCCCCGTCGATTTAGCGCCTTGGCCACGAACATCCGAGGATAATGTTTCGCCAGGAATCTTGCCCCAGCCCCAAAATCCATGTTAGTGAGACGGAACACATCTTCTGTTTTTCCCCAACAGCTGAAAGCTTTGGGGTTTCAGCCCAGATAGGCTCCGGGGTGGTCCGGAGCGGCCCTGAGGTAAGGTCCACGAGGGTTCCACCAGGGTTCTACCAGGGTTCCACTAGGGTTCCACCAGGGTTCCACCAGGGGGCCACCACGGTTCCACCAGGATTCATTAGGGTTCCACCAGGGTTTCACCAGGGTTCCACCAGGTTCTGCGAGGGCTGCGGGTGGGGGAAGAGCACGGCATGCTGTTGGGGATATCACCTGAGCTTATGTTTGTTTATCCACGGCCAGTTCTTGAAAAGCCAATAGCAACGCACGGGCGCGTGACTTTGACTTTGGGCATGGCAATTTGGTGCGACTTAACTGGCAAAGCCTCACTGACAAGTAGGTCCTTGAAGTAGTCCACCAAACAATTTAAGATCGATTCAAAAGCACAAGGCAGGGAAAGAGGCCGCGCAAAACAAAAAAACAAGATCAAGGGCCTTCAAGAGCATGTGGCCCGGGGCTTTCTGGTTCCTTCCGGCGGGTCAATCAAGAAACTTGGTTGTGCAAGGCAGACAAAAGTGGCTTGACTCTTTTGTCAGGACCCGCACGCAGAAACAAAAAGGCGTGGGATGGACGGATGGACATCCACTTGCAGCTGGCATGGATGAACCCTTTCCTGCAGGATCAATATAACACCCCGGTGCAAAGAGAGCTTTGTCAGACCTGAACTCCCCAAACCCTCGCCTTCTCTGCCAACTTGCCCCTTCAAAGCTAATGCTGACCCCGGATTCATCAACCCTCCAAATCCTTTTGGTGGAGATTCAGACCACTTTCTTAAAAAGGCCCCCGCCCATCAAGAAAGAGGGGTTCGGCGCTTCATCCGGGGTTAAGAGTTCAATTATAGGTTCGGGCTGCGAGACCTGGCACAGATTTCTCCTGAAACAAAAGGCGCGCCTAGGAACTTGACGAATGCACACAAAGAAAAGCCAGCAAAAGATTACTCGGTTGCTTTCTGCTCCCCTGCTAAAAGTTTAACTTTTAATGGTTTAATAGAATACAAATTAGTTTGAATACAAATTAGTTTGCAAAAAGTTAAAAAGTCCGAACATCCAAGCAAAATGCACCAAAAATTAGAAAGCCTGGCTGGCAACTGAGGGTGTTTTTCTTTCTGGATGCTTCTTTTACAGGGGAATGAAGACCAGCTTCGGCTCAACTTGCAGCTTGGAGCCCCTGCACGCGCAGCACGCGCAGGCTCCGCAGGGCGTTGGCCACGTCCTCCATTTCTCCTCCCAAAACGAGAGCTCGAAGAGGGCAGTGCCACAGGGGTGATTCGGTGTGCGTTTTGCAGGGTACCTTTTTTTAAGGGGTCCGTTTTTTTGTTTGGTTTCCCGTTTTTGTTTGGGATTTTTCCTGGATTTTCTGTCTTGGAACTGGCAAGTGAGATCTCCCTAAGTTCTGCTTGGTTTGACTCGTTTTGCAACACCGCTGTCAACATCCCCGGCATCGTTTTAACTCGGCAGCATCCTTTTCAACATCCTCTGCATCACGAGTTGGCTTTGTTAGGCTGGGTTTAGGGTGGGTAGGGTTGGTTCAGGGTGGGTTCCAGGCTTGCTTAGGGAAAGTTTGGGGCTGGGATGGTCCAGTGCTGGTGTTACGGTGGGCTTCTTGGGATTGGTTTAGGGTGGGTTTAGGGCTGGTTGAGGGTGGGTTTAGGGTTGATTTAGGCTGTGGTTGTGTTTAGGTGGGCTCAGGGTGGCTTAGGGATGGTTTAGTGTTGGTTTGGTTTGTGGGGTAGGGGGCGGTTGGTGTCGGGTTTGCTTTGGGTTTGCAAAACGGGTTGTAGTTTGGGATTAGTGCTGGTTTAGGGGGGGTTAGGGATTTGTTTTGGGGTTGCTCTGGGGTGGGTTGCTTAGTGGGGGGGTGGTTTAAGGCTTGCCTAGTGCGGACTGCGGGTTGGTTTCGGGTGGGGTTAGGGTGTGTTTAAGGATTGGCTTAGGGGGTTGGGGTTTGTTTAGAGGAATTTAGAGGTTTGAGGATAGTCTATTACTGGTTTAGAGGGTTTAGGGGCCAAAACGTGGGTTTAGGGTTGGCTGGAATCATTGGGGTTCGTTCAGAATTTTAAGCTTGCCTTTGAGGTCATCACAAAGCCCAAACACAACAGTATGGCGAAGCGGGGGGGCTGGGGGGGGAGGTAAGAAGCCACCACCCAAAATCCAAAAAGCCACAGGCCGGTGATGCTGGGTGTTCCTGGTGATGCTGAGGATGCGGAAAGCTGAAGCCACAAAAAAAGTGAAGCAAAAAAGCCAGAAACCTAAAAGCCAAGAAGCCAAAAAGGCCCAGACTCCAAGAAGCCAAAAGCCAAAAAGCCAAGAAGCTAAGAAGACAGATAAGGCAACCAAAAATCCAAAAAGCCGAAAGCCGGTGATGCTGGGTGTTACTGGTGATGCTGAGGATGCGGAAAGCCGAAGCCGCAACAAAAAAGTAGAGACAAAAAGCCAAAAAGCTGAAAGCCAAAAGCCAAGAAACCAAAAAGCCAAGAAGCCAAAAAGGCCCAGACTCCAAGAAGACAAAGGCCCAAAAGCTAAGAAGCTAAGAAGCCAGATAAGGTAAAATGCAAGAAAATCCCAAAGAAAATGGGACAATTTCAAACAAAATAGCCCTCCTTTTTTAGAACGGAAAACTACAAGGAACACAACCATTTGGAGGGTCCCCCTAGTTTGGCACACGCCGCACGACTGGCCGGAGCCTTTGACTTATGACCTGGCAATCTTAAGTAATTACTTGTTTCAATTCTCGTTGCAACGGAAGACGTTTCCCCACGCATGCCTGCGTGCTGGAATGTGGAGGTGTTCCAGTCCGTGTGCATGGTTGGGTGCTGTTCGACGGGCTTATGACAAGGAAGGCTTTTGGCTGCCTGAAACCTCAAGCGCCGTCTCCTTCGTCAGCGCTTGTCTCGTTAACCAT